GGTGAATAAGGCATGTAGGTCCGTTCAAGGGAAAGAATGTAAACAAAATAACGCTCGCAAAAAGCAACCGAGTGGTCTTTTGTGTGGGAACAGCACCAGTCTATGCACAATGACAAGGCCATCCAAACTATGTACAATGACCATCATAGGAAATATTTATTTTTAGCGCACCTAAACGCCGCATGGGTAGAAACGCCGCACATGCTGAAAATTTAAGTTTTAAACACGTAAACGCCGCAGCGTTTCTACCGGAAATTACAGTAAATATGTAATTCTGTTAGCCATCATCATTAGTCCAAACTGGGATACCTTAACCATTTTCTTTCTTACCACCCAATGGCTTTTCTAAATTCTTTAGCTAATGCTCATTCTAATCCATGTATTTATTTCATTTCAAAAGATGATGAGGTAATTGGAATTAATTTTAAAAAATAAGCAAATGTGTGGTACTAAAGTTTATTATCTTAATTTTACCTGAAAAAAATAGCTCAATATATTTAACATCATTCCTTGTACAACATCTTGAAAATATTACATTTTATTATATAAAGCTGCTAATAAAGTATGTCTGTTTTTCATACTGAACAAAAAAGTCAGGGTTGTCTTATAAGTTATGCTGCGGACAATATGGCATGCTTACATTAAAAGATATTAAGTTGCTACAAATGTGATATATAGTCTTTTGAAATTACATAAAAAGACTTTTATTCGCAATTCATTTTAACTGTCAAAACATCATTCATTTGCTTTGTTAGCATTCTGTCTTCAGTAAAGTATTACCCTTTTTTTGGAAAGGGAAAAAAAAAAAAAAAAGAAATATTTATTTATCCTAGAAATTTAATTGATATATATAATAAAAGCATTTTAAATGGGAAAGATTTTATGTAGATGATTGGCAAAGACACTGAATATACACACACAAAAAATAAATAAATAAATAAATAAATTTAAAAAATAACATGATGAAGTTAAATTTCCTATTCTAATTATAAAATTTTCAATTCAGAAGACACTGATTCAATGTTACCTTAGATGCATAGTGGCATAAGTTTATCACTAATGAAGGCCATTTGGGAAAATTTCTTACATATAAGTTAACTACAATAAGTGGTATATAGTTTAACAAGAAATGCAAGAAAATAATATATCACATCAAACTAATACTGTAGTTTGAATGAGAGAACTTAAGTAGCATGTATTCACTAGTCTCATTATTATAAAAGTATCTATTTCATGTAACAATTCTATAATAAATTTAGGAAAGCAATAATTTCCAAATATAGTTTATTTACTCCCATTCTTAAGCTTTCTAAGTTGCCAATATTACAAATATAGTTAAGCCAATTTACAGGAAAAAAAATTTCCAAATTGATAATGATACCATTGAACTTGTTAATAATGCGATAGAAAAATATCGTAAAATTTCTTCCATTGATAATTTTACAAATATCAAATATGGAATGACTCATAAAAGCTTTACTGATTTTCACTTACTAATTATCTGCAATCATAATCAAATCTTGATAAAGAAAACAAACCCATTTTTTTCTTACTGAACACCCTCTCTCCCCTCAAAAGATATATACTAGACATTTGGTTGGTAACCCAGAACTTAATATTGATTATAACATTAAAACACTGTGGAATAAAAAGTAGTTACTAAAATAAAAAAACTGAAGAATGCCATAAAATTTTACAAAATATATTATACTTTTATACAAATATACAAATGAATATCAATACTCAATATAATTGAATTTTTGATAAAATTATGATTGTAGCAATAAAAGAATGAAATACACTTCATCCATAATGCTCAATTATAAATTGATAATATTTAATTCTGTTCGTAGCAGCGCTTTTACAGATCTAATAATCTATTTCATTCGATTTGTATGCGAAGTTATTAATTCTTTCTTAATAAAGAAACAGAAAATTAACTTCTTAATCATATTTTAACATATATCAAAAATGCATATTCCAAAGCATTAATGATGGCTCCCAAGGGAACTAGTCATAAATGCTTCTCAGATTATTTTTAACCATCCCTTTTCCAAAAAATGTGAAGCCGTATACTAGTCAGTAGCTTGTAACAAAGATTAAACCATGACTGTTTAATCAAGATTAAATTGTGGCAAGAAATAACCACAAATGATTTATTAAAGTATTTATGGTTCTTTAGACTGTATCTTATCATTTGGATAACTATGGTAATTCTAAAGCTAATGTATGAGAGTTCTCACCTTCAAAACAAAAGAACAAACTTAATACCATTATCAAATAGACTTCACAGTAATCAAGAAAGCTTCTATATAATAACCTGAAATGCTATGTATAAAGGATTTCTCCTAACTAAACTTCAAAAATTATAACTAAATGAGACATGGTACTAAAAGAAGTCCAACTGTGATGGCATAATTCTTCTTGAATTGCTCAAATTCAATGAAATAATAACTAATGTGTTTATTGTCAGCAATTATAGCATTAATAAAAAAAGACTGATTTAATCCAGAAGAATAAGGTCGTACCTGCCTGATCCCATGTAGCAAAAGCAAAAAAATAAAGCAGTTTGAAAGAAGTTTTACCACTCTCATATATTCACCTGTTTATTGCTTCAGTGGATTATTATTTACATAGACAACAAGAATACTGTAAGGAATATTTCCTTGAAAATAAAAAAATTTTGAAATGTATGATGCTCAAAATTACGAATTTTCAATATATAAAATATCAAGATCAGTATCAAAGTACTTTTTAGTATATACAGTATCAACAGTATTAAAATATCAAGATCAGTATATATTTTCCATCACAACCAGCATTTCTAATAAAAGGTATTAAAAAATATACCAGAAGTGACAAAAGATGATTAATAATATAGATGAAAGAAATTTGATGCAACTGAAAAATGGTACAGTTGGAAAAGATGCAAGCCAGTTATTTAATCGGATACCTTTTGTCAAGTCCTTCCCCCATGAAAACACAAAGGTGCCATTATTTGTAAGTTGAATGAAGAAATCATACATTACTGTTGAAAATTATATAATTGATTAGGTAATAAAAAACGAACTTGTATATAATTTTAATTTTGAAATATCTAATTACTTGTTAGCACTCACAGTATGTATTTATTTCAATGGCAGTTTCTTTTTAGAATGATAAAAAATATTCTGACAGTAATGAGCTCAACAACATGAAATATCCCTGTGTATTTTTATTTTTGCCTATCATTCAAAACAAAAAGAATTGTTTTTGTTCAGTTTCTGAAATCATCGCACTTTAAAACACACAAATATTAGATTTTAGTAAAAAAAATTAATATTACAGAAGATGATATCTAAATATCAAGCTAGAACCAAATTAATGAATATAGCTAAAGTAAAATTAACAAAATATCAAATTTAATTAATACTAGGAAGCTATATAAATACATCATTTACTATTTAAGATATAGTTTTTATTTTCTTATTTATTTATTTTTATTTTCAATAACTGATAAAAATAAAAATACCCTAATTATAAGCCCATACACTTTTTGTATTAGATGCATACGTAAATACACAGAAACTTAATGTATGTTTTAAACTACAATGCATTTAAAATTGACCACAATATACTGGTTTTGAATTTTTAAATACTCAATTAAAAATACTGAAGAAAATTTTCTTCCCTATCATTTTATTAATTAAAATGATTCAATTTTGACTTACTCTAAAACTGAAATTTGTTCCAAAAATTTTTTCTTACAGTTCCCAAATTATTTCTTAAAGCACTAAACATTTTAAGTTTTGTATGTTTTAGTCCTTTAAAATGGACCATGTTTACTGTAACTTGGATTGGTTTCAGCTTGGAAAACTATTTTCATTTCTCCCAACAGACCTCCTTTGCTCACCACGAAGTATTAGATAACCTTCTCAGTAAAAATACTAGCAAGTTACTGAATAACATATTCGTTATTCAAAAAATCTACATTTTATTTAAATAGCCACTCAAGTAATTAACTGGAAGTTTGTTTTCATATTTACAGCTTTCATCTACAAATGAAATATATTTCAATTTGACTTTGAATTTCTAAAACAAATTTAGAAAAATCAAAATAAGATTATGCGTAACTGAACAAATCTGCAGCATTCTGTATTGAAATAAATTTATTAAATTATTGCTCTTTTAGAGACAGATGAACTTAAAACTTTTTTTTTATCCAATGGTAGGTCACTTGCCTATTGAGCATCGACCATTCCTAAGGCCAGAAAATATGGCCGTTTTATTGTGCAAGGCACCAGGTGGCCACCATTGCCTCCTATGATTTGACAAACAGTTACAACCATGCCTTCTCCAGAATTCGAACTTACACCCTTCAGTAGCGCAGCAGGCTCCCCAAACCACTATACGGTCTAGGCGGCTGAATTATAAAACTAAATTCTTTAATACTCTTCATTGCAATAAGCTGATGTCAATATCATATCTGAAGACAATTAATGGAAAGCAATTTAAACTATAAAAGTTCCAATAAAAAATGTTCCATTTTCAGAATTACACAGGTACATCACTAAAATACTTTACATCTGCTTCAATATGATGATGTGTACTACAACTGTATTTTCAAATAAAAATTTACTAATTTTTGATCAAACTCTGATAATATCACTGTATTCAAAATTATCAGCATAGTATTTAGTTTGCATAATATACGATTTATATATGTAAAAACATACGTGAAACATATTTTCGACGCATTAAAAAAAGCCTGCAATTGCATTTGAAAGAATTTTAGAAAAGTATTATATTAAGCAACAGCAAGCTTTTAAAAAAGAACTGCATAAAACAATCTGAAAAAAGAAGATTTTAAATGGTTTTCTTTTCTCTTACCATTAAAAACATACAATTATAAGCATTAGGAATCACACATTAAGCCTGAAATATTTATTTTAACAAAATAAATATAAGAAGAAAATAACTGATTGCAGGAAAACTTAATTCAGATGTAATAAAAATTTTACCTCAAAACGTATGCATCCAAGTGATCATTCTTTTTAAAGCTAATAATTTCACACTTTACAAGCTTCAATAGTTTTTCCCAAGTAGATCTGAAAAGTGAACAAAATATGAATATTATGATGCATTTATATGTATGGCAATTTTATGTGTATTAAATATTTCCACTTTAAATTAAATCATGCAGAATGTATAGCTGGAATATTATTGAAAATATATTCTCAAAAAAGAATAGCACGCAACGCAGCGTATTTATTTACACAAAATAAAATACAAGTCATACACTATAAATTTAAGTTTAAAAAATACAGGCGGGTTACCAGAAAAGAATGCAATGTGAATTGGGAAAATAGATTTAAATAACTCAGTTTTACACAAAGTTCTAAAATTATTTTTTATATTAAATAGTCTCACTTATGTTAAACACCTTCTCATTTTAGTCACAGGTATAAATTTTTGTAGAAATTATGAAATACAATGCATTATAGTGTGAATATAATTTATTGCCCCTGTATATCATAAAAATACATACGTTAATCATTGTATTTTTACAGGTAGTTTTATAAGAAACATGCAGCGAAAAATTCTGGTTCATCAATGTATCTCCCACACTTTGAGAAAAATTGGGAATACAGAGATACACCAACTACAGTAATAAGATATGGATTAAATCTGTCAAATTACTTGATTTATTAAAAACAAAGACTGAGGAAATGCTAAAGCTTTCCTTTTGTTTGAATTAAAAGAGGTGATACAGAAAAGAATATTAATTATAATTTAATTAAATTTCAGAACTCGAAAGTGCACAAATGGCAGTGTAAACAGAACTGAGGCACAGAATAATTTTATCACGAATCATTTTCAAAATAATAAAGTACAGGTTTTTCACAGTTTCTTTCATTTGATAACTGTTGAAAAATCCAAAAACAACTTTTTCTATTTTGTTAAAATATAAATAACTTTTGCAACTAACACAAGAAACTATTAATAAGCAATAAAATTAATTCATTATGATAAAGATCCATAAAATATTCTGACCCCTCTTCAAATTGAGACAGCATTCCAGTGAATGATCAGCAAAAGCAGTTACAAAGTACTTTAGACCCCCATCCAAATTACAAGACAGATCCTTTAACTAAATAAATTATTGATTATTAAGGCATGTAGAAAGAATTTTTATAAAACTATAATATGCATTACTGTAATTTATAAAAACTATCACATAAAAAATAACACAGTTCTAAACATAAAAAAAAAAAAAAGAAAAAGAAAAAAAGTACAAAAAACAAGTAAGCAAGTGAAAAGTAAGACAAAGACCCACAAAATACTGCTTGTCATTCAGGCCTCTTCAAATCATGATAACATCTTTATACTTGATAAGAAAAAATAGCAATATTAGTACTTCAGACCATCCAAAGTCAAAACCTTATACAAGTCAAAGATGAAAGGTTAAAAAGAATATTCCTTTCAAATGAGCTAATCATTAAGTGTTCAGTTACACAGAAATGTCAATAAATTATATTTATATCTAAAATGGACAATACATTAAAAAAGTTATAGCAATAAACTTTATTTAAACCTTTCCTTTTTCTCCAGAAAAATAAATTACAAGAATAATCTTCATTTTAAGTCTCATTTTTTTCCTGCGGTAAAGGAAGGACAAGGAATTCAAAATTTTAGTAATAAGTTCCCTTATTTTAAACCTGTCCCTTCCCTACAGAAAAAGATTAGCAGAATTAGAAATAAAATTTTTACAAATGTACACTGCGCCAAAAAAAAAAAAAAATAAGGCAGTTCTATATCTCCCTTTCTACTGGGCCAATTGACAAAATTCAACTTGCAATTTTCATATCTCGAAAGTGCGACGTATGATATGTATTAGATTTATATATAACATTGTTCTAAAGTAGGTATTTTGACACAAAAATCGGACTTTTTCTGAAATGACATTACAATTTTTTCCATATTTCAATTCTACGACTTAAATTATGCCTAGATATTAAATTTTGTAAAATTCAGTGCAAAATTTTAAAATTTATCTTGGGACTTTTTTTTTTCAGTCTGTGCCAACTTGGCTCACTCACCTTTCCAATTATACCCTCCTTTTCCAGGTGATCAACTTCATTTAGCTGGTCTTTTAATGTAAATGGTACTTGCCTAGCTCTACAAAATTTTGGTGAAACATTTAGTTTTAATTCAAGCTGAACCTCATAATTTTTTTATCTCCTCTAATTTTCCATCAAAAATCTCTTTATATTGTTCTAATAATTTATTTAAACTACTCTTTTGAATAGTTTAGTCTCTTGAGAGACAAATTCATGTTATCAACAGTCGCGTAGCTAGGGTGGAAAAGGGGGGACATTTGTCCCCGGGCGCAGCATCCAGGCGGCGCCAAATTGATGCCACAAAAATTTTTTAATGAAATGTTTCCCATTCATGGCACACAAAAAGGGGCACAAATTCTTCAGTTGTCCCCGGGCGCTGGAATCCTAGCTATGCCACTGGTTATCAACGTCCAATCTAAATTTATCTCTGAAACCCATTTGCAGCCAAATATTGTATCAAGGTTTTCTTTAACAATACAAATATTTAAATGTTTATTTTGAACTTTATATTATACATTAACTGTAGTAAATCCTAAAGGTATCAGTTTTTATCGCACGTACGGGTTCGTGTATTTGGAGTATCGAAACACATTTTACTGCCCAGTGCTTTTTCAAAACAGCTTTAAAATCATGCTTAGAGTCGTTGAAGAACTGCTATAAATACACTGAAACAACCAGCAACACAGCCTCCAAGCTATAACGATGGAGAAAGCTTCAAAGCAAAGCACCAGAGTACAGTTCCCGACTGTGCTCGTTCGTTCTCGGAACTCTACGTACTCTCGAGACTTTCCACGCTACAACTTGCGATGCACTCGACGATACATACTAAATTACAGCTCTTGACTCGGTTCAGTCGTTCCCAGAACTTAACACACTCCGAGATGAAACTCTACGATACACTGCCTCGCGATACACTAACAGACTCTCTCGATGCATTTGACAACTAAGTATGATGCCCTAGACTACGAGACATTCGCTCACTGACTTGACTAGGCAGTCTCTAACTGACTATCAACTCGCTAGATGAGACACTAACTCTCCGCGTACCAGCAGGGTTTATATAGCTTTTGGCTTGTGTTCGAGAACATTCTGGGCTAAACCAGAACTTCATTCCAGAAGGTTCTCAATCCGTCTATGGCATATCACCAATTTTTTCAGCAAATGGGTGATATATTGCAACCCTGCCTTCCCTTGCCATTTTCTGGCAACCCTAAACTTGCTTTGCTCTACTGCATCTCGACATTTCGTAACACTTTCGTAATTTTTTTAAGAAAAACACACAATTTACATAGCTTAGACATGGATTGGCTTATATTCAGAAACATACAATATTTATCTTTTACATGCCATGGGCATCTCTAAACATTTTATTCATTTCTTTCATCCTAAATGTTTTATTCATTTCTTTTTCCACTATTTAATCAAACATTTGAACATGAAAACTACTGTATTTTATGGTATGAAGCTACTATTAAATTACAAGACTCTTAAAATTAAATTTAATAGAGTTATTAAATTAATTAACACTCTATTATACATTCTTAATTATTCAAATTTATTTTCCCATTTAAAAATAACATTTTAGTTACCAATCTTTGAAATATTTAACTAAAAGCGGTTGATCTCAGACCACATCATTACCAAAAAGTCATCAGAGTAAAAACATTTTCATTTATATTTCATATTACAAATTAGCTTTACAGAAATACTAGAAATACTAGCTCTTTCAGTATGCTAGTATTTCTAGAATGCAAATTCTGTATGACTGATTCTGTGCACAAGATCTCCCTTTTTGAAAAAAAATTGACAGGAAGCTGTCTGTTCCTAATGACCACTGAGGTTTATTGTTTTTGAAAAACAATTCTGTTACAAAATGCAAATAATATTTATTCTATTTATATACAATAAATACACCACAATTCAATAACTGTGTACTAATATTTTATGTGAAGGCAAGATATATAAACGAGTTGCCAAGATTACTTCAATAATTCAAAGTTACCATGTTCAGATTAAAGTACTATTGTAGGAAATTCATCTAACTGCTTCCCTCCTGTGTGATCAATCCGAGATGTGCCTAAATCTGATGATAATGTACAGGATGACTCTAAAGTTCAAGCTCCTTCATTTATTTGAAAACAATCTGCAATGGTGAAATTCTTTTGTTTTTTCTTATATTCTTTATAGAAGTTTATTTGCTCACTCTTTCTTTTCTTCTTCACTTATTCTATACAGCTGCTGATACGAGAAATGAATCAAATATCTGATGTCTGAAAAGAAATGTGTGAACCTTCAATCCAACATCCATTCTGTAAAGTCTTTCTGATATCTTGTTTTAACCCCATTCTGGTACTTCATTAATAGAAGAATAAAGTTTAATTTTTTGGTTTCTCAGACAGTCTGTTAGAATGGATGATACCTTTATCCCGGAAGAATTTTATCATAACTGTTACTACATTAATACTTTTTTTTTTCTGTTTATTTGCAATTACATTACTGAATAACTTTATGCAAGGTGAAATAAAGAGATTACAGTATTTTGTGCTTTGGCGCATAATTTATTTGTTAATTGAAAAGTACCAAATTTTTTGTTGTTGGAGACTAAAGTCAATTTCATGAAGAAAATGTCATTCTAAAATAGTTTCCTAGAGTGTAAATTCTAACGAGGTAAATGTGTAAATTCTAATACAGCATGTGAGAATATTCTTAAATAATAAAAACATTAATTTTCATTTCATATTTTATCTTGAAAATTAACAGTAATTCAAAATGCATACTTTGTTTTAGTCAATTTCGGTGCTACTTTGGTAGACGGTTGCACAGATTTTGGTGATATTTCTTTTGGTAAGTAATATGACTTATGGTAAACAAATTGCTGGATAAGTTATTTATGGTAACCGATACTTTGTTGTCATTTTATTTAAAAAATAATGCATTTTATTATGCATAAATTCTGTGTTTTAAATATTATTTATGGCTTCTAAATATTAAAAATCAATTTAATTTTGCATTTTTATTTGAAATATAAATTTTACTGTTTATGATATTTTATGCAATTTTATGTTGTGGATGATGTAATCAATGATGTCACCTAACTTTAAAAGTAATTAGTTTTAATATGTATAAATTTAATCTAATGTTTAAACATTATTTATGGCTGTTAAATATTAAAATACAATTTAATTTTACATTTTTAAAAAACAAATGATTTTATTATGTATGATTACTTAAATAATTTTAATTCTAGGAGTGATGTAATCAGCTCTGATTGGTTATAGAATATTTGTGCATCAACGAGCTGTAATCAGCTAACTGATTCGTTACTGACATGTTTGTGCACTTAACGCACCATTTTAAATTTTATTATTTATTTCTTCATAATTCCTTAGATTTCATAGGAAACGGATATGTTCCTTTCAAAGATGAATGTTGTTATTGGTAAGTACTAAGAATTATTGGTATCGGAATCAAAAAAATTGTCCTTTGTACTTCAGGGAGGGGCGGCTAAAAGATCTTCGAAATCTTAAAAACAATATCTATTATTGAAGTTCAAATTTTTTTTGTTATTTTAAATTTTCATGATCCATTAATTGGCTCCAAATTGCTTTATTGTTTATATATGTATATATATATTTTTTATTCTTGCCCTTGATATTACATTTTTTAATTTTTTTTTTCATCGATATCTAAATTACGATTCCGATTTTTTTTTTTTTTTTTTTTTTTTGTGTGGGTACTTATCAATAAACGACAGGTTAAACGAATCAAAAAAAAAATATAAGTACATATTTTTTTTCTGTTATTTTATAATTGTATACTTCAATTTTTGTTAAAAATTTAATGCACTATTTTCAAAAATTGCTGAGATAATTGTCACATATGTTTTAATGTTAATTATATTCTATATAGCGTATTTTAAAGTATTTGAACTTAATAATATTCTAATTTTTTTTAAATGTTGGTATGATGGTTTTTAATTCGATATTCAATTTCAGTAATATTTTAATCTAATTAAACGTTGGCACAATAATTTTATAGCGGTGTTTTTATTCTCTTCTTTGCTATATGAAAGTAATAACTTAACTTTAGTATTTTATACTCATAGTAAATGTATTTATTTACACTTGCCTGCCATCTTAAAAAATGATATTTTCAACAAAAAATTAATCTATTACTTTTAATGATATTTTTATTTATTTATTTATTTTTTATTTATTTTATTTTTATTTTATTTTTTTTTTTTTCCAAGTTTCCAATATTTTACTATGTGTAAAAACAGCATTTTTCTACCAAAGTAGTACCTCAATTTCTCATATCACTTAATATTAAAGCACACAAAGCCAGTTTTGCTAGAATTTATCCTGGAAAGGATTTTACTTCATAAAGTTTGTTTATTAGGATCCTTTCGAGTAAACAAATTTGGGAGCAACTTATGAAAATTGAAAAATTAGTCTGAGGGTTTAAGATAAACAAAATTTGAATTCAACTAGCAAAGCAATAATCAGATAAAAGCTATATAAAACATTTTCTCCAAAATACAGTTGATTAGTTAAGAGAAAAAGAAAATATGTAAACATTTACAATTTGGTGCTCCTTGCTTTTTTTGGAGATTCTTTTCCCGATGCCAAGATTGGCACCAGGAAAGCACAATTGGTTGATCTTTACATTACGGTAACTTGGCGATTTTTTGGCGAAAATTTGGCGACCAACTCCCCTACAGCAACCCTCTATTTTTTTTTCCCCGCCGCCATTTTGTCTTCACGAAGTAAAGACATGTTTTTTTTTCTTCTTATCTACTGAACACTTCTTCCAACAATCTACTAGCCGAATTACACTTATGCTAGAAATTTTATCAAACAAAACTGCTTAATCATGACAAATATTCACTGCAAAATTCGGAAAAAGTGCAAAATACCATACACCTTACACGTTTTTCAAAAAAAACACATACACCATAAACCATGTACACGCCGACTTATTTTTACTTAAAAAAACATCCCAGAATTGCACAAAAAAAAATGACATTGCGCACACTCTTCACTATATCCATGTACACTGCTTTTTTTCTCATAAATTCGAAAAATTTCACGAAAATACATGACAATTTTCTCAATCTTTAAACCGGTAAAAAAAGAACAAAAAGAACATATATGAAATTACCTGATCGCGAAAAAGTATTTACCCTTTACAAATATGAACATTTCCACATATAAAATAAATAAAATATCCAAAAACTTTTACCTCTAAATCATCTATTACATTATACACGTCACCAACGAATTCATACATGAAGCATTACAAATATTTATTATCAAATATTTAAATTATTTCCATGCACGTTTATTTCAACTTAAACGTACACCAAATTCCTACAAGTATAAAATTCACAAAATAACTATCATTTCATTAAAATAAATTAAATTCAAAAACACCACTTAAATATACAATGAGCACATACATTCAATTAATAAAAATTACCTTACAATCCTAATTACTTTAAACTAAATCATTGCTAATAACAATTTTCCCAATAATACCAAATTCCTTTCCACCTTACATTTCCAACAATGCATAAAAATAATTAAAAATACTAACTTACCTAATCTCCTTCAGAATCTTCATTACGTGGTGGATACACTTTTCTTCATTCTCTTTCAGAATCTTTAAAATCATACTTATCTTTCAAAATCTTTAAAATCATACTTATCTTTCAAAGCAAGATACCAGGTAAAATAACATAATAAAACATGTTTATTTCTCTCTCACACAACCTTAAAAAACATTTCTTACTATCCTTTTCAATACCACTAAATACCCATTTCGAATTCACTTTACTTACGGCCATGGGATCCAAAAATTCACAAAACATATTCACACAACACAGAATAAAGCCAAAATACAAAATTTCCAGATTTTTTTCCCGATTTCCCCCCTTTTCCGATTAAAGAACCGTAATTCGTCCATTAATATCACATGACATATCCCATGATCTCTCATTTCCCCCACACAAAATAATGCGTAATCGGAACTCAGTACTGCTCACATTATTACCAAAGTCCCAGGTAGTAACCTTTATCGCCTCCAAAATGTCGCCAAACTACCAGTTACCGTAATGTAAAGATCAACCGCACAATTTCAAGACAGACATTAAACGAAACCAAAATAAGTTAAAAATTGCACAAACTCGGTATCCATATACACATGGATATTTTTTTTCAATTAAAAAAAATCAGAGAATTGCACAAACTCAGCACTGCACGCTGCCTTGACTTTGTCCATGTACACATCGATCTATTTTCACTTTAAAAAAAAGACCAGGAAGCTAAAATTAAGTTAAAACAAAAATGGGATTTCATCACCAAAATTGAAGAAAATTTGTTGCCATTTGAAGGAACACCCAATTCTACACCACAGCTGAAAACACTTTTAAAATTATATAATCAGCAACTAAATTCACGTTTTTCTGCCGGTGTTTCTCAAAATCTTAGTGTTATTTCCCTAAATCTTAGGGACTCAAAAAAAAAAAAAAAAAAAAAAAAGTAGTGTCATCTCTCATTAAAATCTATTTTAATCATTTATATACATAATTTTAGTGATATTTTGCAGTTTAATGTAAGCTTTTCCAAAATAGAGTTGCTAATGCTACTTGAAACACAATTAAATTAGTTTCCAAAAATCTTAATATTTTCTGATTATATAATGCAAAAATATGTTTACATCATAAGCAATAAAACTAAAATACAAGTTCAAAACTAGTAGATTTCCTCCTCCCACACATATTCACATAAATTTTATACACACAAAGAATTGAATTATGTGTATAAGATTATATGTAAATATATGAGAATTTAAGCAGTTAAAAAATTTGTGTACACAAATCTTATATTACTGAATACAATTATAATCAGATTTCTAAAATTAACTAAAGCTTATGATGCTGTTTCAATAATTTGAAATATTACATCAGAAGCATTATCATTCAGCAAATTATATAAATTTGCAGAAACATGGGAAATTGAATGCACTGAAAGTTAGAATTAAGTTTCATATAATCTGAAACTGCTTGCAACTCAGCTCTAAAAAGGATGCAAAAATTCTTGAAATGCTGCAACTACTCATTTAAATAACGTAATATAAGTTTTAAAAAAATATCTTTATACACAGCATTTAAAGGATATAGTTCTTATTAAGCTTCAAAATTCTTAAAAAATTTGTACTTCATAAAAAAATTATGTTTCACAAGAAATGCCATACTTTCTGCTCTTGTATATACGTGTGTATAATATATTCTGTATTAAAATTACAGGTATCGGAATGCAAAGGCCTTCTCTCGGAATACAGCTGAGTTCGCACTTTTACATACACATTTTAACACAGAACCTGACTTTCGTAAGAAGATAAATAAATATATTTTACTTAGAAGAAAACCGAATCATGAAATATTTTGCAGCAATTAGTATGGAAAATTTGGCATTTACAGAAGAAAAAAAAAAATTGAGAATAAATTCAATTAATCAGGGATTTTTTACTAAAAGTTACCAAACATAATCAAGAACTGAGAATCTTATGGGAAATGTAAGAACTGGGAAATAAGTAAGAACTGAGAAATGTAAGAATAAGAAAGAGCAGAAAGTCTTATAAAAATAAGCCGGTGACTTACCGTGGAACAGACCGCAAATCAAAATTTGCTCCATTGCTCTCAGTTCTACGTCCGAACCAAATTTCAAGTAGCTTTTCAGTTCCTTCAAAAAAATCACAATAGTTCGCTTTCACATCCATCTTTACAACCTGCACAGAATTTTAAATTGAAATTCTTCCGGGAATACTAGCAGCCGCTTCAAGAGTTCTCTAATGAGCAGAAACAAATTTTCAACCTAGCCTTCTGTTGCCAGGTTGAATCGTATATATTATCGATATGACGTCATACATTATCAGCAGAAAACGTGAAAATACACGTGAATACAGTTTGCAAAGAAATCATCGCCCTCTAGTAGCAAGGTCACGAAAATAAAAATAACGCTGAAGAAGCAGTGCAATTGGCTTTCTGTTGCTGAAAACAATCTGCAAACGCTTGATGAAACTGCTAACAATCTGTACTCATGTAATATAAAAGCAAGTAATTTGGAAATGGTGTACAGTAAAAAAAGTAATACTGATTATTTCGTCGGTTATCACACGTCGGTTTGTTTCGGAAGAACAACAGTTTTGGACAATTTTTCTGCTTTGTCATAACAGCCAATCACCACAATCAAGGATCAAGGAAGTGCAATTTACGGAGTTCATAGGCAATTACGCCTTTACCTCCACATCTTCAAAGGAAATTTAATCGTCCGAAAGAGGGTATTGTCAAATAAGGTAAAAATTTTTGATAAGCCGAATGACTTGGAGTAAGTGCCTTCACACTGAGTCAAATAAAAAGGCAAAAAACTCAGAAGGTCTTAATTTTGCGCCGAAAAAGGGCCAGAATAATTTAGATAGGGGCAGCCAGAAAATTTTGACTAGAAAAATAAAAGGTGAAGTTTCCTTGAACCTTGATAATCATTTTCTTTGCATACGTCAGATGAAGGACACGCAGGGGAATTCCGATGCGCGCTCTTCGAGGTGGGGGGGAGGGGGAACCTGTTTACAGGTCGAAAAAGTGGTTCTGTCAGTGATCAGCTGGGAGGGAGAAGTTTCATTTTTTTTGACCGCTATTCATTGCGGTTTTTAAAAGCCAAAAAGGACGCTGTTAAGCGCCTAAGAAAGTTCCTTCTTAGAGGAAGAGAGAAGTTAAAGTTTAAAGAATCTTTATCAGTTTTAGAGAGAACTTTTTCAGTTTTATTTTAGTTGAAAGATTATAGTAAGTTAAATCAGTCCTATTTGACTGTGATGTTTCTTGTTAAAGAAACGCTAAGGAGGTTCCTCGAGTTAATGCCGTGTGCATTAAAGAACTTTAGAGGCGGGGGGGGGTTAAGGAACGAGAGGTAGTTATTCACGTGGTTATCAGTGTGCTCATATCTAGCCCGTTTAAATGGCAGAGCCGAATATTCCCTATTAAGTACCGCTCTGGGTCTTTTTCGGGAAGAAGCAACTGCAGGATCGTATACGGGTAGCATATGAAGCACAGGATTAGCGACACGTTGAATATTTTTGAAAAATTTTTCCGAAAGTCGCTGTATATAGCGATTAATGGGCATAATTTTGAGGTCGTTATGAATCTCTTCGTTCCGTACAAACCACGGAGCTTTTAGAATTTGCCGAAGCATTTTAGATTGAAAAATTTGGACATGTTTTCTGTTAGTCAGTGCGCATGGGCCCCATACGGGACACGCATACGTAAGAACCGGCCTAATCATTGATTTGTAGAGCAAGATTTTGTTATCAGTTGACAGGTCGCTATGACTAGCTAAGAGGGGGCGTAGGGCGGTTTTGACAGCTGTCGCACCCGCTATGATTTTGCGGATGTGAGGCTGCCAAGTTAATTTTGAGTCTAGTAAAACACCTAGATATTTGTAAGAAGAGACCCAGGGAATGGGTTCACCGAAGAGCATTAAGTTGGGTAAATTTGGGATATTTCTTCGGATGAACATGGTGGCAGCACATTTTGCGACATTAATTTTGATTTTATACAGACCGAGCCAGAGTTCTAAGGTCGAAAGGTAACTCTGCAATTGTGAGATTACCTGGAGGGTGTTGGAGTGTTGAGAAATGATGGCTGTATCGTCTGCGTATAATGCAAGATCGATATTTGGGGCCTTAGGAATATCATTTACATAAAGGTTAAAGATTGCGGGGGCGAGGAGACTTCCTTGAGCCACCCCAGCATAGATTGGGCGGGGAGAGGAGAATTCGTGGTTAACTCGCACGCGGAAACTGCGTCCGGTCAAGTACGAGTTAATAATTTTAATGAGATGAGCCGAAAAAACCAAGCCGCATGAGCTTGTAAATAATCCCGTCATGCCAAGTCCTGTCAAAGGCTTTGGCAACGTCTAGATAGACAATTCCAGTTCTCTCTCGCTTACGAAAGCCTTCATGAATGAATTCCACTACACGGAGTAACTGGTGTACCGTGGAGTGTTTAGGTCGGAAGCCGAATTGTTCCGGGATTAGTAAATTTTGATCCCGACAGAATTCATTCAGGCGATTAAGTAAGACAAATTCATAGATCTTAGAGAGAGAAGATAACAGACTGATGGGTCTGTAATTGACGGGCAGGTTTAAATTTTGTCCCGGTTTTGGAATGGGAACGACTGCTGCAATTTTCCAGCAGTCGGGGAAATAGCTTCTCCTGAGCATTAAATTTATGAGGACCGTGATCCATACGATAAACATAGGGGGGAAGTTTTTGATCATGCGATTCGAAATAGAATCTATGCCAGGTGCCTTGTCAGGTTTCAGTTTGTCAATGAAAACCATGACTTCAGAAGGGTCCGTCGGCCTGAGTTCAGATGTGGTAGGTTGTGTTAGAAAAATCTTTAACCCGTGCTTGTATGCGCCCCTGTGTAACCGGACGGTTACAGTAGGAGTCGTGGTTTGTTGTGAATTGAGTTGCAAGGCTGTCAGCTATGACATTTGCCTTTTCTGAGTCAGTGTAGGCCATCTGCGCGCCATCGGCCGTTTGAAGGGGCGGAATGTGTGTTTTATGTTTGCGTAATCGGGCGGCTGCGCGCCAAATCGATTTGTCTTCAGTCGTTAGGGACTCAATGAATGTTTTCCACTCCGCTTGTTTTAATAAGCGGGTTTCGGTCCTTATCTCGTTCTGTATCTTGCGAAATTGGGCACGGATATTGGGATCTCGTGACCTTTGCCAAATTCTTCGCAAGTAATTTCGCTGCTTAATTTTGAATTTAGTCTCAGGTGGGAGCCTAGCACCTGGATGTTTACGTGGCTTTGAAGCCGCAGCTCTCGCTTCTTTCAGTAAAGACTCCAAACTTTTGATATGCCTGTCAAAGTCCGAATTGCTGGAAATTTTGATGGGAGGGAGTGAAGTTTTTTCCAAAATAAATCTAAAGTCGTCCCAATTTGTTGAGACTTGCTCCTCTAATTTTGAGTATCGATTTTGAATATCTAGGGATATCAAAACGGGGTAGTGATCAGAGTCCAATTCCTGAATCACTTTTATCTCATGCCGAAAGAATATGTTATAAAAGGCAGCCAGATCAAGAACTGCAGGGGACCCTCTATGAGGGTAAAAAGTCGGGAGGGTAGGAGCTATGATCTGTACATGGTTACTCTGGCACCATGAATTTAGACTAATACCATACCTGTTCCTGTTAGAACAAAACCATGCGGTATGGCGTGAATTTAGATCACCAGCAATTATTAGGTGATTTGAAATATTCAAAATTTTATCAAAATCACTGACAGGAAAAGCTGGCCTTCCACGTGCTGTAGACAGTGGAGGTAAATAAGCTGAGACTATTGTCAGCGGGGAGGAATTTTGAAGGAAAATTTTGATGATTGTCGCTTCCAAAAAATTTAAATCAGGGGGCGGTATCATGTGGTGCTTTAACGAACGCTTCACATAGATACAAGTGCCGCCACAGGGATTTCTGCCCTGTGACACCCTGTCAGTACAATAAATGTCATAATTCCCAATTTTGGGAGTATTCCCTGGGGTAAGGTGAGTCTCTTGGACTAAAAACACGTCAATATCGTGCTCTACTACAAAATCACGAACTTCGTGAATTTTTGATGTTAAACCATTGGCATTCCATGTGCAAATGGTCAGTTCTCTGATGGTGTTTGAACTGTTATTTATACAATTGAATTTTATGCCGTTGTTAAAGGTTCATCACTGAAAAACAGAAGACATGGGTCTAAAAAAGCCTAATTAGGTTGAAAGCTCAACATAGCTTTCATAAATATAAAATGCCCTCATTAAAGCATCTGCTTGCCTGAGTTTAGGCATTGCTTTTTTGAAGGCAAGGAGCAGAATATGCTTGTCTACCGCTGGGTCGCGGGAGATTTCAATTAAGCATTTTAGTGTAGATGAGAAGACATCGTCTGAATCATTGCTACACTCTGCTGTGGCTGACACTGCTGGGGCTGCAGGGGCTTCTGCAACCGGCAGTCTTGGATTCGTGGATTTGAATCCGTGCTCGGTGGTGTTCTTCACCATCTGTGCATAAGATGGTGAACTGACGTTGCTCGGGGGAGCAGGCATGGGACGTCTTGTCTCAGCATTTGCTGGGGGCTTAGAAGAACCCTGAGGGGGGGGTTTGAGCAGCTGCCCTAGTCCTAGGCGCGGAATTTTTACCGCGAGCCCGTTTGTTGCCTGGGTATCGGGGACAAGATTTGTACGAAGCTGGGTGATCTCCACCGCAGTTGCAGCAAGTGGCTGGTACATCTAATCCTTTGGTACACTCACGTGCCCAATGGGGTCCAGAGCATCTGACACAACGGATTGGAAGGGTGCAGAGTTCCGAAGAATGGAAAAAGCCCTGGCACCGAAAGCACTGAGTAGGGCCCTTGCGGCCGCGGTAACGCTCAATGCTGATCTCTGTGCCCCACATGTCAGTGACGGCAAACAGATGATCGAGGAAGGGGTGAGGGATAACTTGTAAATATACAAGTGGCATTGGATGTCTGGAGCCAGGCTGAGTAAGCCGAACGATGCGATGCACTTTAAATCCCATCGCCTCAACTTCCTCTTTGATATCCCCGATTTCAGTTTCAACAGGGAGGCCTCTGATAACAATTTTGACTGGCCGGTCCTGCTTTAAGTCGAAAGTTTTGAACTGGATGCCGGCTTGCTTCATCCAGCGGGTAACCTCCCTGAACTCCAGCTCTGTCTGAACAAAAATTTTGAGATAAGGTCCAGTCAGGATGCTCCGTAAGTTTGGGGCAATTTCTCTCATGAAAGACACTTGCGTCTTCCAGTTTTTGCTGCTTTTGAGATGTATTGCCGGAATCTCAGACTGCGGTGGGGGGGGGGGAACGTTCCGTGCCTGCTCGGAATTAACTCCCTCACTATTACTTGCAGTAACAATTTCTGCTTCATTAGAATGCTCATTGATTAATGAGTTTTTGATTTTCTCGTACTTGTTAGTACTCCTCTCCTTTTTAGGAGTAGCATTTTTTTCAGTGGCTGTCAATTTAGAATTTGGAATAGCACTATTTGTATCTTTAGCGTTCAAAGCCAAATCATCTATTGTGAGATCCACAATAGGCGCCTTCCCTTGCTTTCGAGCCGCGGG